GAAAAAGTAAGTACTCTAAATCAAAATATGTGTGATATAACTAAAGACCTAGGCTGTAAATAAAGTCTAAGTCAAATTCTCAACATAGAAAGCAACAACAAAAACAAACTGGACCAAAAGAAGTTAGGAGAAGAAAATAGTGCAAAATCATAGACTATTTTTTTCAAGGCACCAACAAAAATAGTTATACATAGAAAAACATATTAATGGAAAGAGGGAAAATAAAAATATATATTAGTAATCAAGTGTCAGAAAAGTGGCAAAATATTACCAATAAAACATTGTACATAAAATTTTCTTAAATCTAGAAGAATTAAAAGGTTTTGTAAAGCAAAAAATTTATTTAAAAAGTAGATACTCCTGAAACTAATATAGCATTGTACATTGTTTAAAAGTCCATAGAAGACATTGAATTATTATTGTCAAAGATTCACCATTTAAATGGGCACCAGGCCAGATGGTTTTATAACCAAATATCATCTATTTTCAGTGAAAACATTTTCCTGTTATTTACACTATTTTAAATGTCAGAAAAGATATGGGTCTAAATTAATTTTATGTTGCTAATATAACTATTGCTAAAAATAGCACAAAAAGAACATAGAGTAATTTCATCAACAAATTCAAATATACCTAAAACAAAATACTAGCAAATGAATCCAGAGTTGTATTAATAGAGTAATACATCATAATGAAATAGGATTACTACCAGAAAGGCAAGGATTGTCCAATATTTGGCAATTTTTCAAAATATAGAACTCATTCTATAAACAAATTAAAGAAGAAAAACATGTGATTACAACAATGTATACAAAAATACATTTGATAAAAATCAATAGTCATTACTAATAGTTAAGTGAATAGGAAAAAAGGGGAACTATATAAACATAATAGCCTATTTACTGCAAATAACAAATGTCATATTAAAGTTCAAAATCTAGATCCATTTCTATTAAAATCAAAAATAAGAGAGTAAGACTCACCCTCTGCACTATTATAACATTGTATTTGGGCTTCTAACTAATGTAATAAGAAAATTAAATAAAGATTGAAAATTAAACCAAATTATCATTTTGCATGTTATATAATTGTCGTGTACTGCGCTCAGTGGCTCAGCCATGTCCGACTCTCTGTGACCCCATGGACTGTAGCCTGCCAGGCTCCTCTATCCATGGGGTTCTCCAGGCAAGAATACTGGAGTGGGTTGCCATTTCCTTCTCCAGGGGATCTTCCCAACCCAGGGTTAGAACCCATGTCTCCTGCTTAGCAAGGGGATTCTTTTACCACTGGGCCGCCTGGGAAGCCCAGGTGTCTGGATACCAAATAATTATAAGAATAACTTCGTAGCTTTTCTTTATACTCAGTAACCAGTTACAATACTTTGGCCACCTGATGCAAAGAGCCAACTCATCAGAAAAGACCCTGATGCTGCGAAAGATTGAGGGCAGGAAGAGAAGGGGACGGCAGAGGACGAGATGGCTGAATGGCATCACCGACTCAATGGAGGTGAGTTTGAGCAAGCTCTGGAAGATGGTGAAGGACAGGAAAGCCTGGCGTGCTTCAGTCCATGGGGTCACAAAGTTGGACACGACTGATCAAGTACACAACCACCAGTTGCCAGGACTTCTTAGGTGGTGCTGGTGGTAAAGAGCCTGCTGCCAATACAAGCGACACAGGAGACGTGGGTTCCATCCCTGGGTCAGGAAGATCCCTTGGAGGAGGGCATGGAAACCCACCCCTGTATCTTGCCTGGAGAATCCCACGGCCATAGTGGGCTGGTGGGCAACAGTCCTTAGAGTTGCAAAAAGTTGGACATGACTGAAGCGACTAAAATGTCTAGGCACAAACTTAACATGAAGGATATAGGATTTTAAAAAACTTGTTTTAATTGAGGCATAATTGATATACAATATCATAAATTTCAGATGTAAAACAGAGTAACTCACAATTTTCAAAGGCTATACTCCATTGGTAATTATTATAAAATATTGGCTACATTTCCTGTGCTATACAATATACGCTTATAACTTATTTATATTTCTCTGCACTCTTTGGTTGGTGCAGGGAACATTACTGCTTTTGTTTTGAAAGATGTGGCAGAGATCGATATTGACCTATCTAACATTCATTCTCATTCTCTTTAATAAAAGAAGCTTATTACCACTGAGAATTCCACTCAGCTTCTTCTATAGTCAGATATGAACATGTAATCAAGTTATGGCCAGTGGGATGTATTAGATGCTTTATGTGGGACTTCAGAGAAATCACAAAGATATTTAGAAAGTGAGTCCTTTTTTCCTGCTGCCTGGAATGTAGATGTAATGACTAGAGCACTAGCAGCCACTTTGGACTGTGGAGTTTCCTGGGATGACAGAACAGGAAGAAGGAGTCTAGATCCCTGATAACTGTGTGGAGTCACAGCAGTGACTCTAATTACTTTTGGACTTGCTTTAAGTGAGTGAGAAATACTTCTGTCTCGGTTCAATTGACATTATTTTGTGATTTTGTGTTATATTCAGCCTAATCTCATCCTAAATAACATGAAAAGAAAAACCCAGTAAAGGATTTAATTTATATATAAAAAAAAAAACTCCTGTTGACCAATTTTCCCTTTCCTGAGAGTGAGGTTGGAGATAAGGAATCTGAAAACTTATAGCTGAGTATATAACATCAGAAATAGAGGTTACATGTTTTAAAACAAAACAGTCCTAAAAAAAAAAAAACAGTCCTGGGAAAATTACACATGTCTACTTATTCTTGGAATAACTTGGAATCTTACTTTAACCATGTAATGCACTCTACAACTATTTATCTTGGGATCTGTCTATACTTCCAATTCCTCTAATAATGTTTTGTCTTTTTAAAATCAAGTCTTTAATTACCAAAAAGTTCCCTGGGCTATAAAATATCTTCTCCATGGATTGCAGTATGTCCTGGCACATGTTCACTTCAGTAAAATGATCAGTGTATTAAAAACCCAACCAAGTGTCTGCAGAAGCCAGTGATGGCATGGCACCTCTTTTGTGGCATGTGTGAAATCTGCCCATCACTATAAACATTCTTTGCAACATGACACTTTGCCCTTATGTCCATTTCATATGTGGTATTCAGTGTGCTGGGAAAGCTGGGGGGAAAATGATTCTTTTTTTAAGGACTAGTCATATAGAATCACAATGTTAAGCGTAGAAGGGGCTTCAGAGGTCATTTTTTCAGACCCCTCATTTTACACAAAAGGAATCTGAGGCCCAGAAAGGCCACTTGACTTTCTTAAACTCTTCTGGTTAATGATAGGTCCTGAAATAGAAACCAAGAGTCCGACTTCAAATTCTAGGTTTTTTAATTTGTTTCATCTATTAATGGATACTCTAATGATAGACTGGGAGGGGGGAGTTACTGTTTTTTTCTTTCAATACATCTAACTTTGCATTACAGAATATACTGTATTCTGGCTGACATTTAGCTGTTTAGCACCTAAGAGCAAAGGAATATTTTAGAAAGCAAAACAACACGCTCAGTAGCACTATGTGATTGAGAAATGGCTTTCTTTGTAGAAGATGTTCGCTGACCTTCTTGACTGGTTTTCCGCCTCCTCCCCACCAAATAGCTAAAGCATGATGATATTGATTCTAAGTTGAGTTTCCATCCTTATATGAAAAGTTAACTTGGCACAAAGCTTGGCAGAGCTAAGTCTGACCAGCTGCGCTCTTAGCCACGGGGGAAATTAAGTGAGACAGTGTGGCTGGTTCTGTACAAATCAATCAAAGTCTTTTGAAAATGGTCTTGAAAACACATACCAATAAAAGCACACAGGTAGTTGTCTTTTCCTATAAACTAATTTTAGTCCGCATCCATAAGATGCCATGGATGTGGACAAAGAAATCATTGTTTTGGCCAAAATGTTCATTCAGGTTTTCCCACAAACTGTGAACTAACTTTTTGGCCAACCCAATAAGATGCTTTTCTTAGGCTGACTAGCTGGCAATTCATATTTCTCCATCAGTTCCATGAGAACTTGGGGATAAAGTGGCTAACAGTCTGCTAATATTTTAAGTTAGATTTGTGTACATGTTTGCCATGTTGAAACAAAACAATGGCTACTGGTCTGACATTTTTTGCCCACGCCCTATATATTTTTAAATATATAATTCAGTGATTTTTAATATATTCACAAAGTTGTACATCCATTATCACTACCTAATTCCAGAGCATTTTCATCATTCTCTAAAGAAACTTCATATCCACTAGCAGTCACTCCTAATCCCACCTCCCTTCAACCCCAGGCGACCACTAATTGAGTTTCTGATGCAATAGATTTGCCTATCCTGGATATTTCATATGAATGGAATCATACAATATATGGTCTTTTGCGCCTGGCATCTTTCACTAAGCATAATGTTCCCAAGCATCGTGCATGTTGTAGCATGTATCATTACTTCATCTTTTTGTATGCACTGTAATTTTTTAAAGGATGTTTCTTGAAACAAAGATAAAAGCTAAATATTTCTTAATAGAAAATTTTGCTATTCTTGGAGGAGAAAATGAGACAAAATATTCAACATAGAGATTTGTCTTGACAAATAAATATTAGTATATTGATGAAAAATAGGAAAAAATTTAAACCCAGTAATTAAGAACAGATAAAAACAAAAAGCTAATGGGAACATAACATTATCATCAATACAGAAGTTTTTCTTTATAATCTTAGTGAAAATTAAGGTATATGTTGAATTAACATGTTGTGACTTTTAATTTGATTTAATTTTGTATTAACAGCAAACTTTTTGCACTTCTGAGTTGACACATGCCTCTGTCAGACAGAAGGAGAAGAGCAAGAAGGAACACGAGGCTGCAGCTGAATTTAGAAAGTCAGAGGTGCTCTCACAGCCACATGAGATGAACAGGAGATTCCTTCCAGGGGGGAAGACAGCAGAGTGCAGACAGCAGATGTGAGAAGGTGCTCAGCGCTGTGAGCTCCAGCATCCTCGTGCTGAAGAAGGGGCGGTGCAAACATGATTGACATTCACAGGGAACATAAAGGCGCCGGCCTCCTCCCCAGCTGCTCGTCACGCTGACCTGTACCATCTCTCGCCTGCTCGTGGGGTTTCTGTCAACTACACCGGAAAGGACAAACTGTTTGGAGAATAACATTTTATTGTGACCATGCCAGAACCCACTAAGAAAGAGGGTAAGATTCATCCCTAGATCTTTTTGTTGTACTTTTTAAATTTTTTTTTGCTGTTTTCAAAAAATATTCTATTTCTTAAAGAGACTATAAGATAATAGAATACTGTGACTTAAAGAAAAGAATCTTAGAGTAAAAAGACCAGAGGCTAAATATCGGAAGAGTATAACCAATTAAAAAATATCTGTTAATGATCATTTATGAAGGAACATTAACTAAAATGATCAAATTAGAATTTTATCATTAGTTGCAAAGAATCCTTAAAGTTTAGTTTTCTTAGGTTCAGTCACAAATTTTTCACTATGTATTTGCAGTTTGTGGGGAGTGGGAGGAGCTTGGAATGCTTTCTTAAATAGTTAACAAATTTGATCAAGATTTCAAAAAAGAATTTGTGACAGTATTTCCCAATTTGCTATATTTTTCTTCTAGAAAGACATTTAAAATATGCAGATGCAGTTATTTTTTGCTTTTATCAGTTTGGAGCTTTATTAATTATGACATTATTACAATCTTGCATGGGAAAAAACTCAAATACCTGGTTAAAGAATATCTTTGAATGTCACTGACAGACTGTGTTCTTTAATGAGATTTATTGTAGGTAATTTCATAGTAACCTTTTAAAAATAATTAAACTGAAAATAATCTTCATTAGGAAAAATGCTTCCTCCAATAAACAGCTTCTCCTATGTATGAAAAATCAATATCTTAAAACTACTTATTAATAATATAAATAAGCTAAAACTCAAAATCACTAAAATAACTAATGAAAAACACAAATTAACAGCAGAAATATATTGAATTTAATTTTAAATGGTAATTAACATCTTTTAAAAATACTTTTTTCACATGTGTTAGTCTTCATTAGTGCCTACTAAATCTTTGTTTTTCACTTTTGCAAATAAAAGCAACAAACTGACAAACATTAGCAGGGAGCCAGAGAGCATAAAAATGGTATTTAGCTTTTTTTTCATTTTTAATTCTAAAAACTGCTTTTAACCATTATTTTGAAGAGCCTTGGAAAATATGCTAGATGTTGAATCTGAAGTTGAAATACTAACCAAATTACCAAGAGTTTTTGAAATATATTTTCTTTATGTAATTAAGTAACCAGTGTTGACAGGCTGTGGTGATCAGTTTACAGGTTGGCTTTACTTAGTGGTGGAGGGCATTGATGGATGAAGTCTTCTACCCGAAATAACCACACCAAATGCATGCATTAATATGGGAACTTAATCCTGACTATCAAGCAGTGAGTCCAGTCCCTGCTGAAGTGTCTTATTTGTAATGCAAATGATTTACTTGTGTATTAAGTGTCCTTTTCATTTGATCTGTCACTTGACTAGCCTCTTCAAGGCTGATTTGGATGAAATGCATTCTATGTTTCCTGACTGAGGACAGAATATTGTTTTAATTATCCTGCATTTAGTGGATGAATTTGCATGTGTTATTTTAAAGCCCATTGGAAAATGACAAGAAAAACTGATAAACTAATAGGTAATATGAAGAGCTGTAGAGCCTATAAAGTTAATTAAATTATTTGGATTGCTAGATGTGATAAAGTTTTACTTCTTGTCTGACAACTTAATCTGATCCATTCTACTTTTAAAGACAATGAAACTAGTGAGACAGGAGGAAAATATATCTTTAACTTCAGCCCTTCCCTCACCCTACCTCCCAAAAAACCGTGTATAAATATTGCATATAAATCAGCATACATACCAAAGTGCCCATAATCTTTTGCTATAAAAGTACTGTGGATATTCTGTGTAGGAGTTGTCCTCAGCACAGTAATTTTATACTCAGATTCTTTGGTTAGTTTAAATTTGGATGGTGGGGAGTCAGGATAAAAAGAAGGTTACTGATATATTTAAAATCCTTTGAGGAAGTACAGTGATTTTTTGGTTTCCTTACCAGCAGAACTGATTTTTAAAGGAACTACACCTTAAAGAGTTTTCTTAATGAAATCATTGCATTTTTGTATTGTTTACATCAGAAACGTAAGGAGTATGGCAAGTCAGGGGCTGTTCTGGCCCTTGCATCTTCTCCCAAATTTGGTGGCTCAGACGGTAATGTGGCAGACCCGGGTTCAATCCGTGGGTGGGGAAGATCTCCTGGAGAAGGAAATGGCACCCCACTCCAGTATTCTTGCCTGGAAAATCCCATGGATGGAGGAGCCTGGTGGGCTACAGTCCATGGGGTCACAAAGAGTCGGACACGACTGAGCGACTTCACTTCACTCCTTACTGGGGTTGGTTTTGGTCCATATACACATGCCTCTGAAAGACAACCTCAAGAATAAAAGGTGCTGCCAAGCCAGTTCTACAGAATCCTTTCAAACTATCTGCAGAAACACCCCCCTCAAGCAAGTTTCTCCAGCCCTTATGGGTCTCCTTACATCTCTTCCTTAGCTGGAAGAACCACGCCCAGGCACAGCATGACTGCCTGCTGTAAATCTTGATGACACATGAGCTGCTTTGACCTTCCCAGCATCCAGGAGCACTTGACAACTCTTCAAAAGAGGCTGAGTTTTCAGCACCTGAAAGTGCAAAAGATGTCTCTCTCAAATAAATGCCTCCCGACCTGCAGCAGCCTAATTCTGGGAGCTTCAAGTTTGGTCTTGGGAGAGTTGGTCCTTCTAAGGAGAAGGGGAAGTATGGTTGTACCTTTAGACCTCATGGAGGGACTCTAATGGAAGTAATTAGTCAACAGCCCTTATTTAGACCCTTCAGAATATTCTGGATGGCTCAGTAAGCTCTTTCTGAGAAAGAAATTTTTTTTTTTTTAGGAATAGCACTCCTGGTGGCTCAGACAGTAAAGAATCTGCCTGCAATGTGGGAGACCCAGGTTTGATCTCTGGGTTGGGGAATTCCCCTGGAGATGGACATGGCAACCCACTCCAGTACTCTTGCCTGGAGAATCCCATGGACAGAGGGGCCTGGTGAGCTACAGTCCATGGAGTCAGAAAGTGGTGGACATGACTGAGCAACTAACACTTTCACTTCACTTCCCTTTATCCTCTCTACCTCTATGTTATATATTTATTCATTGTAGAACTATACCACTTGTACTGCCAGTTCCAAAGAAAATGTCTGTCTTACACTTTAGATTGATGCAGATCTGACACCCAGTAAAAGTAAGGTGTTCTAATCAAACAATGAGAAGGAAATTTCAGATTTGTGGGAATCTCCCAGGATGTCTTGCTGATACATTCATTTACCTATCATCAATTAATTGAGTGCTTACTATGAGCTGGTTGCTGGGATTTCAGAGATACATGCAACATGGTCTCTGCTCTAAAAACCTTTATGGTGAATTGCCCCTGGGTCTCACTGAGTAAAGAAGTCATCTTTTGCTGAAACTCTCTTTTCCTGTCAAAAAGTGGTTTTATCAATGTGAAGTTAGAAACATGCAAGAATCTTATGCTGTTAATAATGTTTTTGCCCACAAATCATTTTTCAAGAATTTTTGCTCTGTACTATGTAGTGATTAAAACCATGAAGTCTGGTTCTTTAATATATTTAGACAAATCGTTAACTGTCAGACTGTATAGAACCTAGAAAAATTCTTTTCTAAAACACCAAGTTAAGGTGTTAATGTGAATTTTACTTTTTGTGATATATCAGGCCCTGTTATATTTCATGCACTTAACTTGTAGGAAAGAGGCAAAAGTTCCTTATTGGTGCTTGTGGGTCATTCAAAACACTTTGAGAGTGTCATGGTAGATTTCTCATCTTCCTTGTAAGATCTTTTGTTGAAAACTCAAACATATGGCAAAATATACCTTCACTGATGACCATAGTTTTAGGGGCCATTCTAATAACTCCAAGAATCAAAAGTATGGCACTGTTGCTACAGATTCGTTTGCTACTTCAACATGCAGTATCTATCTATTCTATCTTGGCCTACTTCAGTAAGCTTAGGTGGGAACGTGGTCATGGAGAATAACTTTTTCAGTCCATAGGAGCTTTTCCTTTGCCACTTCTTTTTCTTGGTCACTAGAGATTTCACTACCTTTTAAGGTTCTGCTAAGCCCCAAACCCATCTGAATGCAAAGCAGCACTCATCACCTCTTACCTACTTCCCAGCGTCACTCAAGGCTTAGTCATCATCAGAAAAGGAGCCTTGGTGATGGGAAACCTCCCTCTCATATATACTCCTTGACCTTCAGTTTCCACCCGGATGAGACTGGATGGTCTGTTTCAAACACCAAAGTAAATTTGTCTTTGGAGAAGTTGTATTACATATAGAATATTATTTTTCTCTCTAACGGGAGAAAAGTAGGGACTTCTCTGGTGGCCCAGTGGTTAAGACTGTGCTCCTCAGGCAGCAGGCCTGGGTTCCATCCCTGGTTAGGGAACCAGATCCCACATGCAGCAAATAGGACCTAGTGCAACCAAACAAATGAATAAATATATATTTTTTAATTAGGGAAAAGTGCACTTGTTGAAAGTAATGAAAAGAAAGGGAGAAGAGGGAGGAGGTATTTGATTGAGGGCGGCTACTTCCCTCCAAACTTCATGTGGTTCATTTAGGCCACATTGAAGATTTGGATGAAGAATAAAGAAGTTACATGAATGAAGGCCAATGTTTCCCCCCACCCCCACCTCGAAAAAACTTTGCAGTCTGTACTGGCCATGCACAGTGTAGATCTGAGCTATCTGCTGTAAGAAGGAATACTCTTGGGCTAATGCATGCTAGAGGAGCTTAATACTTGGCAAAATCATTCTTTTTCAGTAGCATGCTTTTATGACTGTCCGACTGCACCTGTTAGGAAGATAAATAAAGGACTGGCCAATTCTTTCCTCTCAAGCGCCCTAAATATATCTCTTTAAAAAAAAAAACTTTGAAAAAACAAGTTGTATCTTTGTTTCTCATCCAGTAAGTTTGAAGAAGTCTCCCCTAGGCCTTGCAAAGAGTGGGGTAAAGGAGTTCCTGAGATGAAGAAAGGTTAGGCTCTCTGGCTAGTCTGAGAGACCCCAAGAAAAGGAAAAAGAGAAACACAT